TGCGTTGCGTATTGTACGAGATTTTATATTTTTGTCTGTGTTTCATGCGTTGGTAAAGACTTGTTTTTTCTGTTTTTTGTTCTTTTATTCTCTGTTTTAACTGAGTAATGTTTTAATTTTTAATTTTAGTGTTAGCTTTAGACTTTATTTTAGTACGGCTTTGTCAGCAACATTTTGTTTTAAGACAATAAAGCTATTTTTGACTTTGACTTTGACTTTGACTATCGCAATAGGTTCTAAAGATTTATTTAGGAAATGAAGGCAATAAATACCAGGTGGCATGTATTCCTTGACTAAATTAGTAATTTGTGATATTGTTGGATTATTTGGTAAGAAGAATATTATTCTCTTTTTATTACCAAATAGTTTGATCATACCTTTCCTAATTGTGTTTATATTGGAATATCGAAATATAATTTGATTTCCGAATATATTTACATGTTTCTTAGTATACTAAGAAGGAGCTCCATATATGGAGCTCCTAATATTGGTTTTTCCATAGACGTATGTATTGTTTGCTTATTTTTGGACAAGGCTGAAATTGTTTGCTCGTCATCCGAAGGTGTTATTTTTGTTTTACTTTTTTGAGTTTTTGAAAATTCTTCTATTTTTATGGAAATTTCTTTCTTTTCCTTTCTTGCAGGTATTATTAGTTGGGATCATATTTTAATTTTGGGTAAAGGAAGACCCTTAGATTCTTCTTCAGGTTCTCTTTCTGATGCTGTTTTTGTTGATTGAGATGATTCAAACATTGTTATATCTTTTTCTCTAGCTTTCTCGCTAATCTCGCTTTGTTCAGGAAGATATACTTTAAAGTCTGTGAAGTATTTTGCTATGATTTCATCGTTACATAATGGTGTATCTTTCAGCATTTCTCTTAATTTTCTGTGAAATTCATCATCTGAAGGTGTTAATCTGGCATCTGGATCTGATTTGTGAATGGCATGAAGTTGTATTGCAGAAATTCTTGATAGTGCGTCTGCATTCATGTTTAATGTTCCTTTTTTGTATTTGATCTCATAATCAAATTCGGATAATTTTAGTCGCCATCGGACTAATTTAGAATTCGGTTCCTTAACATTAAATAGCCAGTGTAAAGGTTTGGGTTCTGACAAAATTGTGAATTTTCTACCAAAAAGATAAGGTCGAAAATATTTTGTTGCCCATACGCTTGCTAAAAGTTTTTTTTCAATCGTCGAATAATTAAATTCAGCTGGGTTTGAGGTTCTAGATGCCTATGCCTTCCCATTGCATTGGGAAGATCAGCTAATCAGCTCGGACAGGAGCTTGAGAAAAAACAGCTCCAATTGCATAGTTTGAGGCATCGGTTGTCAATAAGAAAGGTTTCTTGAAGTCAGGATGTTGTAATGGGATCATTTATTAATACATTTTTACAAGTTTCAAAGTTATTAAGAAATTCTGCATTGTGTATTTTTGTTTTTGTCTTTTTTCAAACAAGATGTCATTGGTTTTGTCAATTAGGCAAAATTCTTTATGAATTTTCGGTAATAACCCACTAATCCTAAAAATGATTTTATTTCTTTCACCGTTCTTGGTATTGGGAACTTTTTTATTGCCGTTATTTTTTTTGGATTTGGTTTAATTCCATTTGGCGTGATTACATTTCCTAAGAATTCGACTGTCTTGTGTAAGAATTCTGATTTGTCTAATTGTATTTTTAAATTAAATTTCTTAAGTCTCTCAAATACTTTCTTCAAATTGTTCACATGTTCATGAAGTGAGGTGGAAAAAATTATTATATCACCCATACTAGACATATTCAATTCTGCATATAATGATAGCTATTATTCACGGGAATGAAAATTCAAACACGAGCCGAAGGCGAGTGTTGGAATCATTCGAGTGAATGATTGCCATTATTTGCGAGTAGAAGACTATACTTTCTCTTCGAACTTTTTGAAAGAAAATCATTAGTTTTTGTAAGAAATAACAACAATCAAAAATCCTATTTTTTTTTTTTAACAAAGGTTTCGTGATCTCACAGTAGACGTCAGTCATGTTTTGTTTGTATTGTCTCGTTGCGGCCCGTGTATTCCGAAAATACGGAGAATTTGATTGGTCGATAGGCCGTGGATTCCGGTTTGGAATCCACGGGGCGTGTAGAGTTCGTATTATTAATCAGTTTGATATCGTGCAAAAATGAATGTATTATTTAATGTTCGAAGGGAAATACATTATCCATCACTCTTTGGAAGGTTGCTGGTGCGTTCTTTAATCCAAAGAGCATTCTGTTAAATTCGTAATGACCATTTTCATTTCAACATTAAATGCTGTCTTGGGTATCGAGTTTTCATGCATCTCGACTTGATGAAAGCCAGAGGCTAAATCCAGTGTCCTAAAATAGTTACTACGACCAAGTCGGTCTAATATATCAGTGATATTAGGTAGTGGATATCTATCATCAACAGTTTTTTCGTTTATCTTTCGATAATCAACGACCATTCTCCATTTTTGTATGCCTGCGGCATCTTCTTTCTTAGGTACCTACTATCCAAACAGGGGATGACCTGGGACTAAAGGATGGTCTGATTATGTTACCTTCTAACATTTTCTTTATTTGAGAATTTACTTCTTGTTTATGCACATGCGGATATCTATACGTTTTCGTGTGCACTGATATTTCATCTGTTATTTTAATCTCATGTTTGACTTGATTGGTGAATGTCGATTTTTAATTTGGCTTGTGGCAAATTTCAGGAAAAAATTTAATTACATGTGGTAAAGCATCAAATTCCTCTGAGTTTAAATGATTTATACCTAGTGACTTAATAGTAATGAAGTCATTTGTTCTATATTAAATATCTCAAACTGTTCATCACGGACCTCTGGAGAATGCTTCTTAACAGCACAAAGTGCGCCATTCTTCAAATAGGCCAAAACAACCCAAGACTTACATATGTCCTTGATCAAACAGAGGTCACCAAAGTTAAACGCCAGAAGGATTTGGGTGTCAATATAACAGATAATTTGGAATGGGAACAGCACATATCCCAGATAGTCAAAAAGGCAAATACCCTAATTTACCTCATCAAGACCTCTTTCCGAGATCATTCCAGCGCGTGAGTGCAAAGAAGAATTACCAAAATCCCTCCAGAGCTCCGAGACCTCCCATACGAAACCAGGCTGAATGCGACCTCACTGAACCAGTTTAAAAACAGACTAGATGTTGAAATAAAACAATGGTCAAATCATCTCTTGCATTATATGTGATACCACTGTGATAGAAAAATTGACTCTGACAAATAATGTATAAAAAAACAAAGATTGATATTTAAGAAAATGGAACTGTAATTAAATCAATAGTCTCTTCGGGTTTCTACCCGCTTACTATTGTAAATTACATAATAATAAAAATAATAATAATAATAAGGTAAACTTATTTCAGCCAAGTTATTTATGTTATACGAGAGAATAATAGGATTTTTCATTAAGTTGTGTACTTCTAAAGGCACTATCTCATTCGTGACCATTGTTATTGTCGAGGGAATATAATACGTTATATGTTTACTTTACAACAATGTATTTGAAAAGTCATAAAGGAAAGGGGTAAGCTCATCAAAGCATATAAAAAAAAGATATTTGGATATTAATTAGCGTGGCAATTGGTTCACTTCATGAAATGAAACAATAAACGTATTATTTCATCACAATGGAGGTGTTTCTTAAATTCTTAAAACACGTTTTAATATATGTGAATCGATAGATTGCACTATGCGTTTAATAGAAATGTTATTTTGCGCTCTTTACCTTTTTTTGCCACCTTTTTGAGGCTGTTGAAAAGGGCATTATTTTTAAATACTCATTCTTTTATCACCATCTCAATTGTCCAATCAGCAACAATCAACAAAATGTTGTTTTGATAATCAACAAAATGTTGTTTTGTTACATGCGGTGTTGCCAGCTTTTCGAACCTAACATTGATAAATGCAAAAAAAAGCACAGTAATTTTAATTTAAATGTACAAGGTTTTCTGTAATTCCTCCTCATAGGGCACACCGCAAACAATTAATTGGATATTTTATACGAGCTATTATTACAGCTTGCCAGAAAACATCTTTTTATTGCCATTATTTTCTACACCATATAAATACGCAACGCAAATGACAAAAATAATATTTTTTTTTAGGTTATGTGTCAAACAAAAACAACTTTCGGCCAATAATACTGGCAGCACCGCTAGTCAACCTGTCAACCTTGCCATGTTACTTATCTTTATTCAAGATATATTTTCAAAAACCAATAATTACATGATTATTGCATCTATTTATTTTATTGTTTCACATAAATAATCAATTGCATGCTCACTCAATTTTTTTTAAATGATAATTATAATTTATATCAATTCAAAAAGCACAAACATGCCAAAACAGTTATATCACGTTATATTATGCATGAACAATAACCTTTATGACGTCAGAAAATATTTGAATGAGGTGGTTTTTTCAAAAATTAAAAAAAAAAAAAAAATAGGGAACGCAAAAAAAAAGAACTGCACATTAAGAATAAGCAAACAAAATACTATTCAATAGGCTAAAAAAAAAATAATTCGGAAACATGCCCATTGCGATTCCTTTTCAACCACTTCTTCCAAAAATCAGATATTTAACAAGTTTATCTTCATTCTTCACTTAGACACTAAAACCAGGATATTTTTAAGGCATTTTTCATGGGGTAAAAATGCGATAATTGGAGGAGCCGATACGACGCGTGTAAACTTTCGATCTCTTCTCGATACTCTGTATACGAATTTTGGATTCTACACACAAGTTTTAGGTTTTGCGTAAAATCGTGACGTTACAATATACGGTTTCCTGCAGTGTTGAAACAAAGGTACTAACATAATACCTGTTTGATAATACTCACCTTGAGTGAATTTTGTTACCTTTTTTTGTCAAAAATGTCTCAATAATTTCGATTAATGATTGGTTCAATTGATTGAATAAATAAGTATATTATAATTGAATAACGTTTTTTTTTAGAGGTTTAGATAACAAAGTCACAGTCTACCCTCTAATCCTGGACGAGGACGTTTCCTTGCGTAAAAAAACAGTTGGCACCCATACTAGCTACATGAGCTGCTGCCTGTTCCCCAACTCGGATCAGCAAATTTTGACTGGTAGTGGTGACTCCACTTGTGCCCTTTGGGATGTAGAATCCGGCCAACTGCTCCAGAGTTTCCATGGACATAGTGCTGATGTCATGTCTATAGACCTTGCGCCTTCAGAAACGGGAAATACATTTGTTTCTGGAGTGAGTTATAGCTACAAATTATTTTCATGTATATTTTGTTATTAATCATTGGCATTCATAGAGCGTGGATAAAATGGTTTTAATTTGGGATATGAGGACTGGTCAATGTGTTCAAAGCTTCGAAGGCCATGAATCTGATGTAAACAGTGTCAAATTTCATCCTAGCGGTGACGCTGTTGCTACAGGAGGCGATGATGCTACAGTATGTCAACTTTTTGTGTTTGTTTGTTGCTACATCGTTTTTTTTTTTTCAGTGTCGCCTATTTGACTTGCGCGCAGACAAAGAAATTGCAGTTTACAGCAAAGAGAGTATCATTTTTGGGGCAAACTCTGTGGATTTTTCACACTCTGGTCGTCTGTTGTTCGCGGGTTACAACGACTACACGGTGAATGTGTGGGATACGCTTAAATGTGTCAGGGTTTGGTTACTATATGGTCACGAGAACAGAGTGAGCTGCTTGCAAGTTTCGCCAGATGGCACTGCGTTGTCTACAGGGTCTTGGGATTGTACTTTGAGAGTGAGAATTAATTCAGGTTTATTATTCTTTTAGTTTGAGTTGATATATTAAGCAAAAGTTAAAATCTAAAACAGTTTCAAGCTCAGTTTCAAGTAGGTGACAAATTATTAAGAGCCTTAGAAGCGAGCATGAATTGAATTAATTGGAATATAATGAATAAACAAACAAAAGAAAGACCAGCCAGTGAGTGGTAAAGTTAAAAATCTATCAAAGAATGCTAATCAGTGAATAATTGGAAAATTCAGGAAAAAATAAGACCATAATTGAATATTTGGCATAAAATGGCTCACAAGAGCTAGTTTTTGAATATGTTTGACAATCTAAACAATATTCCCAAAGATTCATCATGTTCATCGTCAGGTCATCCTATCCACTTAGTAATAACCAAGCAAATTTATTTATGTCGCCTCTCCAATAAGTTGGGGTGTTCTATTTCTTACTGGATGCTTTTGGTCTTGGACATCACTTTATGATCCTCTTCGTAGTCCTGTTACCTATTATTCCGCATTCTGGTAAAGGGAGTTTATTTATCATCAGACAGCTTGTATTTGCTAAATATTTATTATTTCTTTGACTAAAAGAAATGGGGGTTTTGTTTCAAATATTCATTACAGAAATTTTCACTCGGCTGTGTCAATTTGACATTATTATAGGCCCTGGACCTGGATGTTTACCACCTCAATCGCTTAGGGTGGTGAGATCAATCATTAGTTAAGTCCTTGTTAGCAAACAATAACCTCAGATTGTGCCACACAAAAATAATTTTATATTGACATTGACAGAATCTAAGGTTTTTGTTAACTTACAAGGACTTACCTAACAATTGATCTATCCGCACTTAGACTGTGTTTTATATTATTGGTTTGGCCACTTTACCTACTTTTGTTGACTTAAATCTTATAACTCTTGCCAATTTCCTGTTAGAAGTCTTGGAAAATTCTGTGGGCCATTCCGCCTGTCCTGTTTTTTTTTTGGTTGAATATGTTTCTTACAAGCATACAGAGGAAGTAAAAAAAATCTGTTTTCAACATTGAATTTCTAAGGTGAGAAATTGAATGAATTGAATACAGTTATGTATTCAATGAAACGCACACTAAAATGTCACAACGTCCAAAAAAACATATGTCCAATGTGTTTTCACCATATTACATAAAAGCGAGCATAAAAGGTAGTATTATTCATATGAGCTTCATTTCAGACCACTTTTGGGTAAGGTTAAATATTAAAAACTCAAAACATGCATATTAAATGATAATAATACAGGGTGGAATATTTAAATGGAATAAATTCAGTATCAGAAAGCCTGTTTATTTTCTGGAAAAATAAAAAAAAACGGGTCCCTTTATTTTCAGTTTGGCACATTTTTTCGGCCTTCCCATGGAATTCACCCTTCTCTTAAGGGTAGAAACCACCCCCAAATATATATTTTTTCAAATGTAAAGATATGTATTGTGATAGCTTGTTGGAATGGGCATAAAAAAAGGAAAATGACCCATTATTTACTTTTGCATTTCGGTGATTTAGAAAGCAAGAAAAAAATTAAAAACATATTTTTCTACACAATTTTTTTACAGTTAAAATTGTTGAATATATTCAGCATTTCTTCTTGGTAGAACCCTAATGCGAAACAAGCCCCATTTTTCACATTATGTAATTATTTCTAACGTTAACACACTCATTGATGTCTGATACTCGGATTCTCAACCCTAAAATAGTGTGTTAATGTGAAAAATAATTACATAACTAGATCACCGAAATGCAAAAGTAAATAATGGGTCATATTCATTTTTTTATGCCCATTCCAACCAGCTATCACAATACATATCTTACCATTTGAAAAAAAAAGTTGGAGGTGGTTTCTACCCTTAAGAGAGGGGTAAATTCCATGAAAAGGCCAAAAAAATGTGCCAAACTAATAAAGGGAAAATAAACGGATCCTTTTTTTTAAAAATTTTCCAGAAAATAAACAGGCCTTCTGATACTGAATTTATTCCATTTAAAAATTCCACCCTGTATAAATAAAAAGTGCATCCTAAAAATTAATTTTTATAGGCCTGACTTATATGTAATAATATTTTTGAATAAACCTGTCAAGTTCCTAAATTCCAATTTGGTACGCGAAAATTACAATCAAAAGAAAAAATTACATTTCTAAAATACTCAGTACAGTAGAGGCACAGAATATCTGAAACATTTGGACTAAAAAAAACAGAGCTATGATTTAAAAAAATATGTATATAAATTTAATTAGCCAGTAATATTTTTTTTTTGTATTTCAGGTTTGGGCTTAAATTACTTGCTTGAGTAGTTGGTCCATTGATGTCATATTATTAAAGTCAAATATATACCATATAAGCTAATATATCTCTTGACTGCATCAGTCAAAGGATGGAAGCCAATATAAAATTAAAAGACATAAAAAAGGATTTTTTTTTTTAAATTGTCAGAGTTTGGTAAATAATCTCAAAAAATGAGCCAAAATGCTCCTGAAAGTTTTGTAACGCATTTAAATTATACAGACAGGCCTATATCCAGGCTTTGATTTCAAAGAAAGGAAACAAACTTTAAGGATGGAGGAGCAAACTTATTTCAATTTATGTAATTTTTCAAAATCACGACAAGGTGAAAAAAAACTTTGTTCTCAAAATTATATAATTATAAAAAATAAAACCTTAACAGAACACAAAAAGTTATTATGATATATTTTTTCTAGTAGACAAGATCTAGAGTGGCCACTCTTTCTCAGTGGGGATTACTCCTCTTAGCTACGGTCTGGTGCACCGGGCTACAGTTGGTCTCTTTTCATAAAGCTGTAGGGTAACGTTTAATAGTTAGCCAATTTCTACATAAAGTTCATCCATCTTGTTTCTAACAAATGTTATATTTATAGATAGAATTTGAAAACAAGGTTTTTGGATCCTTTTAGTGAGACTAATCTTCTGATAAAAAAAAGTACCAAATTTCCAGAACTGAACGTCTGAAAATGTATACAATATTATTGTCAAAAGCAAACTTGTATAACGGACTTTTTTGTATAGTTTTTCAATTTTGTCTTGTTTTATTATACATGCAAAGGAATAGGCGTACAATACCATAGATTTAAACACTAATTGTGTAAGTTTATAACAGTGCAAATTCTCAGAAATCCTCTTTGGCATGTTTGTAATCCCATTCTGTCTGTAATCTCAGGTAGCTATCATTGATATTAAAAATAAGATTGGGCCCAAAATTGAACCCCTTGTGGCCCACCTTCAACATCATGTTGATAAGACTCTTTGGGCAAGTTTTCAAGTCCAACTTGTCGGGTAGACACTGTTCGAGTCTATACCCAATACAATAGGCGATTCCGAATGAAGCTTAAACATTGTACATGAAAAGATTGAAACCCTATCAAATTATTATTTATTAATGAATTAGATTGATATATGTAGTTAATCAAAATAATTATTGTTGAAAGTTACTAGAATTTGTTGTGAAGACTTAAAAATCTGCCAGATATTTTAGAATAGTTTCTATTTAATTTTTTGTTAGTTCCTATTTAGCTTATAATCATAGATAATGAATATTATATTAGATGTTTTAAAAAAACAACTGGTTGTTTTACTGCGATTTTTAAATTTTTGAGCTAGAGTAAATTCTTTGGTGTAATTCACAAATCACAGTGTAAGTAACTGCAACATCTGTCGCCTTCGCGCTAGCATCACAGATTTTTTTGTTTGTTTTGCGAGCAATATAGTATTAATAATCTTTATCCGACAGCACTTGACTATAGTAGGGTGCTATTTGTGATCAAATCGCTCTTGAAATTACTACTGTGGGAGGGGGGGGGGGGAAAGTGTCACAATAATCCAAAATTTTAGACTATGCAGAAGGGCACCGATTTACTGTGCATTTAGTGTGTTGTACTTTAACTCAAAGACCACCCCCAGAGCCCCAGAGAAAGAAAAAAAATGTACAAAGTTTGTTTTCATCTCCTTGTTTCAATATCGAAATCTAAATCTCGATATCGATGTTTTCTGAACATTGATGTATCGTGCTCAACACTATTTGCGTTTCCGATTGGCGATTGGTAGATTTTGTCCAAAAAAATAGGTCTATCTGTGTTCTTCAGTGGGCGTTTGAAAAAGATGCAAATAAACGCGTGTATGATTGCGCAATTATGAAGCGAACCGATTGACATGACTCATCTCAATCGGTTCGCTCATAAACGGGCAATCGACATTACAATGTTTATCTTTTAATAAATATATTATATCTATTAATAAAGAGATTGTACCTTTAGCTGAAGATGTTATGGACCACTTAGCCAAAAAGCCAAAAAGACTGGAATTTATTCTTTAGTTTCAGAGCCCCGGAATTAAAGAATAAATTCCATATAATATAAATTATATCACTACATTAAATATTATGTTCTTCAAATTAAAAACTTCAATTTTATAATTTTTTATGAATCTCACCGTTCCAAAATAACAGATATGAACTTTATTTAAATTTAAAAGTTCGGGAATAATGGGAATTTTGGTAAAGATAATGTATTTTTACTAAACTCGATTAGTAAAATTGCCGCTATTTTGTTTACCTGTCCTGTCACAAATGTTTGCCTTTGGCGAATTGGCCTGCACCGCTGGACCTGGACCCCTCCCCCCCCCCAGGGTTAAAAGCTATCTACGCCACTGAGCCTTTGTATCTCCCCCAGATCGAATCCAGTCCCTTTTTTACCATTGCAAAGTATAATTTCTATTTCTAGAGCAATATGTATTGTAGTAGTCTTAGTCAATCGAAATTATGCTTTCTGTGGGGGCAAAGTCAGCAGAGGGTCACAAGCTAAATTGTTAATGTATTAGAAAACCAATACATATTATGGAAATTCTAAAACTGCAAAACCAAAGGTAATCCAAAATTGGACCATGCAAAAGGGTACTATTTCCAAAAAAACGAGAAACTGGCACCGATTTCAAAAGTTTTAATAAGAATTAGGACTTACAGCCCCTAAAAACTAAAAATGCGATTTTATGGGTTTTATCTCGGCGAAAAAATGCTTAAAACATTGTTGTTTTCATATTCACACTTCAATATTAGCTAAACAAGCTTTTAAAACAAAAAAAGTTGTTCTCTATAGAAGTTTCCAATCAAAACATCAACCATTTTTTGTAATTTTTTGATAAACAACTTATGGCAATTAATCGCGTGATGCTGTTCCATTGCTTCGCTTCGTCTTTGTTAAACATAGGTACGTTATACGTTCTTAGTGGGTGTTTATTGAAATGGGGAAAAAGAGCTGCTGGAAAAAATTCCTCCAGCTTTCCAAATATTTAAATGGATTTGGATCAGACGACTCTGGGAGATCTGCTTAAATATATTAAAATTGTAGAGTCCGCGTCAAGAGAAAAGAGTACGGTGACGTCATTTGCGCACAAACCCAATTTTGAAGACTAACCGAGGTATCGTATCGTATCGATCGGTGCTGCTGCCGAACGCCAAGCACGTGGTTCATTGTCGTACGGCCAGCAGGCATATTTTTATTTAGTTTATTTTGTATCCAAGTTTTGTCTAAAAAGATACCCCGCTGCTGGTTTCAGCTCACGGCCGAGGTCACGGCAGACAGCGAGAGATAGACGAGGGAGAGAGATCCGACCCGCTTCGCGCAGTTTTTTATTTCGTCACCGTAGTCTTTACTGCTGACGCGGACTCTATCCGCTAACATCCGATGTTCTTCCTCTCTCAAATGTATTGAGAGGTTTAATGGCCTCTTCGACGGTGCCCATTTAAGGTACCCCGAACAGACGATTCCTTACGCTTCCATGTCTTAAGTGCCTTTCACCAAACCAAGATTTGGTCGGCGTTGTGTTGTGGTCTAGAAGTTCAGCGTTTCTGCCTCTTGGTTGTTTGTTGTTTGTGGTACACAAGCACAAGCGTCTGCGGAGCACACGGAGGCAACGCCACGAATATGGTCGAAAGTGTACGAACGAAACTTTTAAAATTTGGCGCGGCGGACGGCGGTTCACTAGCGTTTCTGTTTACCGTGTCTGTTTATTTATTTGACACAAAATTATTATTAATTTGACAGTTTTTATTATCAATGACATGATTATTACCATTACCGTGGTGTTGGAAAACGATTGACTACCTATAAATGCATATGCAGGGTGACAATTTGAAAACTAGCAATCGGGAATATCTTTAGACAAAAAATACTATCAGGAAGATCTCAAATATATATCGGGGGATTGGAGGGGGAAGCAAAATGAGACAGTTTTTGAGTCACCCCGCCTCATCCCTTAAGGGGTAGCTACCCTAACTTATTTTTTTTCAAATGCGAACTTACCTTGTGTTGTGTTGCACATCGTTCGATAGCTCGTTGCTATCCCTTCACAGTCATATAGCAAAATCCTAAATCGGACGATTAGTTTTCGAGATATCGGTGTTTAAAACTAATAGTGGAGTTCCCTCATACGAAATTTTGGAAGAAAACGCCAAATTGGGTTACAAGCATGAAATTACAAGCATAATTGTCAGGAAACGCATTTTAAGAGATCTGACCCGATTAGCCAGGCTCTACGACCCTCAAGACTCCCAATTTCGAAATTTTTTTTCAAAATGGCGGACGGAAATTTCCTCAATTTCAAAATTAATTTACTTGGACATGATTATACACTTTATAATATAATTTGAGGTCGAGGAATTCAAAAAAAATATTTTCAAAACGATATGATCTTTTTTATTTATTTTTTTAACAAACAACCGCTGGGAGCCAGCTACCACAAATTTGGTGAGCTCTAAGGGGACTAGAGAAGTGTGGATATAAAGGTTAATGTGAAACTAACCTAACACATGTTCGTATCGGAAAGCTATAGTACAGCCGCGCAGTATCTGTTAAAGCAGCGGCTGGTGAGGTAATGCCACGGTGCCACGGAGCCATAGCAATACCTTATTTTTCTGAAAAAAAAGATTTTGTAACCTTCATATGATACTTTGAAGCATTTCTGTGAAAAATAAGGTAATAACATGGCTTCATGTACCTTAGTACTACCGCATCAGCCAGCGCTAATTTATTATAAAAGAAACTTTTTGTCTTTGATAAAACATTTTAATTTTTATGTTATGCTAAGCAATCATTTTTGATTTTTAACCCCCCTCTATTGGCGGTTTCAAACATGTTATATTAAGATTATTTTAAAATTGAATTAAACTGTAATTTTCAAGGTTACTGAAGGTCATATCGTTTTGAAAATATTTTTTTTGAATTCCTTGACCTCAAATTATATAATAAAATGTATAATCATGCCCAAGTGAATTAATTTTGAAATTGAGGAAATTCCCGTCCGCCATTTTGAAAAAAATTGCGAGATTGGGAGTCTTGAGGCTCGTAGAGCCTGGCTAATCGGGTCAGATCTCTTGAAATGAGCTCCCTGACAATTATGCCAAATTTCATGCTTGTAACCCAATTTGGCGTTTTTTTTTTTGTGTAGGCTCTCCACTATAAGCATATTTTGAAAACTAGTAATTTTAACCATCTCTTAGACAAAAGAATTCTGTCATAAAAGTCTCAAATACACATAGGGGAAACCAAATGTGGTTATTGCCTAACCCCCACCCCTCTTGTCTTGGGGGCTAGCCTAGGGCTGCCACTTATGAAATTTGTTACCTATAGGATAATTTTTACAAAAGCCTCGGATTCTAACCCCTCAAACTCGGACACCAATAAAAGGTAGCCCACCTTAGGCGCCGCCGGAAGCAGAAGATTTTTTTGGGTGCCACGCCCAAAAAAGTTTATTTTAAGCCTTCGAGAACCACTCATTATTTTTACAAAAAAATCATTTTTCGGGTTTTTTTATAGCTTTCATCGAGCTTCAAACATGACTAACGACACGTGAACGTGAAACTTGAGGGCACACGAGGGCTAAATAAAACTGATGATATCGATTGACGATTTCCATGATTCTTGTCAATTTCGCAGAGTTATTCGTGATTTTTTTCAAGATGCCGTAGAGCATAAAACACGGATAACTCCAAAAAATTCCCCCGGACGCCTTTAAAACTAGGACAAATCCCGGAAAATCCGGACGGATGGTAGCCCTAGGCTAGCCGCTCCTAATATTTTTTTTAAAATGAGAACCTACCCCGTGTGATAGCTCCTTTGAAAGGTTTTTTATTCGTCTTTAGAGGCGTGCAGAAGCAGATAGAATTACGATGAACACATTATTTGGTTTCGCCGATGTGTATTCGAGACTTTTATGACAGAATTTTTTTGTCTATGAGATAGTCAAAATTACTAGTTTTCACAATGTGCTTACTTTTAAACACCGATATCTCGAAAATGAATCGTACGATTCACCATGCACCATAAAAAATATTAGGAATATTTACAAATAATAATGGAAAGTACGGTACGCAGAATAATTATTAAAAAAAAAAAAAAACAATAATGGTTATAATATATAAAATATTCTCTTGAAAAAAAGAGTGCCTTCGGGGGGGGGGGGGGCTGCAGCCCGGCAGTCCCTCCCCCCCTGGATACGCCTATGAGCTTAAGTATGATAAATGGTATTGTAAGTAATTATTAACACTGCTGTAAGATTTATCAAATGA